ATACTGATGTATTGGCGATAACTGCTACACGGCAATAACTGTTCGCTAGCCAGTTGGAATTACAGGTCTTAGGTGTATAACACTTTTTCTAACCTGGGATTTGAACACATGACCACTGGATCCTGCACCTATTTCTCCTTGTGGATTCAACGGTGAAGTGAAGTGGAACTTAAACCATGTGCATGATTAGTACACTTTACAGTTACATGCATGATGCATGGTTTAGATGTGGCTGACTGTAGTAGTACTATTCTGGACATGTGTTGGACATACTAGTCCACTGAGGTACCACTCCACAGTTTAACACTGGATATCCCTTAGTCTCTCGTACAGACCCTGAAGCAAATATATCCAAGAAAGCCCACGTAAGTCTAGATAAAGAAAATGAAGAAAGTCTCAGAAAGTTACGAGGGAGGGAGTTCAGAGAAAGGGACAGCCAGGTGTTAGAGATGCGGATGGAGTAACCATTTAACTTCAGCACAGGTTATTTCCAAAATAGAGGGACATCACAACTTTGTGTGTGTGTGTGTGTGTGTGTGGGGGGAGGGAGGATTTGATGAACACCCATTTGTCCCATCACATTTGTACACTCCTGGGTCAAGCTATTTGTGTAATAAAAATATTTAAAAACAGTAAGGGAAGAACTTGTGTCAATATTTTCATGATAGATCATCATCACCCCCCAGCCCTAATTATGAACCATCCTTAGTACACAATGTTTTCCCTTTTGGAAGTGATATTTTTATGTGTTTCTGATAATTCAATGTTGCTAAATCATTTAAAATCAGATGAATGGAATAGATACTGATTTTAGTACACTGCATTATGGTGAAGTTTTTAGGACAGAATAAAATTCTGCACAGTTAAGTATTCCTTTTTGGAAGCCTTTTTCATGTGCTTGAGACAGTGGGTATGATGTTTTTTGATATATGATCAGCGACAATCCAGTTCATTGAGTATTTTATGTTTATTAGTTTTCGAGTTAGATTGCATTCATTGGCCCGCTTTTGAGCCAAACGGACTGTAGGAGAAGTTATCCATCAAGTTGTATGCTTTGTTATATACTCACCAACTTCTAAAATGCTGATCAAACAATATATAGTGAGTTCAAATGCTGTGTGTGTGCATATACTGATATACTTGTAAAGCCATTATAAAATACATCTATGAATAAAATGGTAACTCAAAATTAATTAATTACAATCAAACATAACAAATACTTTCAATGTTTCAAGAAACTGTTTGTAGAAATGCTGTTGAATATAATCAAATACTGGAGACTTGATGCAAGTTTAAGATGCTGAAGTTTCATACTCACTGATGATACAGTGTATGTAACAAACAGACACATAAATATAATCACATCTACGGTACATAGAAACAATACATTGGAAAAGACTTACACAAACAGTTCTTGCAGCATAACAGTACTTTTTGTATGCAAATACTACATGAGTGAATTTAGTTTTATGCTGCACTCAGCAATATTCCAGCTATATGACGGCAGTGTATAAATAATCGAGACTGGACCAGACAATCCAGTGATCTACAGCATGATCATCGATCTGCGCAACTGGCAACCGATCACATGTGTCAACCAGGTCAACAAGCCTGACCACCCGATCCCGTTAGTCGCCTCTTAGAACAAGCATGGGTTACTGAAGATCAATATTCTAACCCGGACCTTCACTGGTTAAGTACGACATGAAAATTAACATATTTGCCATATCAAGCTTTCTGTTTAACTTCTTGAGCAAGGTGTACATAACCCTTATAAGCACCCCTTACTAAGACTGAAAATTTAAATGTCAGTGTTTATTTTCTTGTGTAGAATACAGACTTTTTATAGAAAACAGTAGTGAAGTATGGTGTATGTTAATAACCAGTGTTATAAAAAAAGTATCAAGTTTTTCTAAAGTTTGTTCTCTTGGGCTGTTATGATTCACTTGTATATGTGGTAATTTGGTGTATTGATACCTTCATGAAGTAAATTCATTATTTGCGCTAACTAAAATTGAATATTATTGAATTTGTAAAAAGGATTGTTTTACTTGAATTTTTGTGTTATTTATGGAAATAAGATATGCAATATGGCATATATCCAAGCCAGACAGGATAATAGTCAACACTCTTATATATTTCATTTGACAGTAATGTGGTCATTGGTCATCATCCTGACAAATTAACACTGTTCACTTGGTCAAAACATCTCAAATAATTTATTTGTTTTTATTTCACTGAATATAATGAATGAAACATCAAATGGTGATGTGTCATAGTATTCGTGAAAAATATTTGAATTTCATATGCAATGTATTCACCTCATAGTGGATTCACTGCAGACCTTATGTTCACTTCCTCCACATGACAACTTTCTAAACAAAACTTATTATGGCAAATTTGGTGGGCTAAAACTATTTCTTGTTTCTCCATATTCTCATGGATCAAGTCATGTATATCTTTTGTAAATTTTATTACTAATGATTTGGACAAAACTAGAATCTTTCTTGCTTTAAAGATAAACCTACTCTGATCTTTCTTCTTAAAAGTAAAAACAAAACTAAAATACATAGATTTACGTCTTGATTTTGGTATCTTAGTCAAATTATGTATTTCACCCGAGGTAATCATTTGTTATTTTTCTTACAGTTGAACTCGGTTATCAGGAAAGTAGAATCTTTACCATTATGAACATCAGCTATTTTTCTTTAACATAACATTCAAAGCCAGTCTTCAGGAGAATACAACTAGTTCAAAAACAAGCATCAGTTATTCTGCTTACATTTAATGTCACATTTTAGGAAACAATACCCTTACTCTAATGAACATCAGACTTACTTTTCTTACATTCAAACTTAGTTTAAGAAACATACAGCCAGTATCATCATATATATTTCAACATTGGTAGTTTCCACTGAAATCTGTTTTCTGTAAAAATTGCAAAGTCATGACCAGGAGTGACAACCAAATATGTAAATTTGTTTTCCTCTGAATCTTAAAATCAATGCCAAGAAAACCACAAATAAAACTTATCTGGCGTAACAAGCAAAACAGTTAAATTAACAGCCAAAAAATACATGTCATTTCCTATGAACCCACTGCTTTAACCTCAACACAAGACAATACTGTACACAACAAATACACATGGTTTACGTATTTATTGCTTTACATTTTATTTAAACCAATCAACAATGCAATCTTGAACATTTACCTACAAATAAAATGATTAGAAATGTCAAAGTTTTTAAAATAACATAGTAAAATATACAAATAAATATCTAAAGCTAACATATTTTGAGAAAACAACTAGTTCATGAATGACAAACATCATGAAATACCTTCACAAACGTTCAGTTAAAAATATTCAGGTTATGAAGCAGTTCAATTCTAAATAGTATATACATTGCATCTGGAATGATAAAGAAGAAAATAACATGCATTGGATCCATTTTCAGGGCTACCTTTATAAAACCCATAGCCCTTACTAAGCAGTTGCCAAAATATACTGTTTGATGTAAACAGGTTATTATTACAGTTACATACAAAACACAACACAATGCCATGACAACAGGAATGTGTTACATAATCTTGCAGCCAAACTCTCACAATAATTAAAACTAAAATAAAAATAATAATAATAATAAATTAACATAAAAATATAAAAATCTACACAGAAGTAATAGAAAATTGAAATGCCAAAATAGCAATCACCAAATATTTGGCTCGTAGAGTCTTTAAGAGCTGACGGTAATGTTATTGGTTTCTTTGAAATTGCAAATATCAGCAGTGTCCATATAAAATATTTAAACGTAATAATAAGTCAATACTGTACCATACACATTCAAATTAATAGATGTGTATCACAATTTCACAACAAAGTGAATATGATCACGAATACCAGTTCTTCTATGTTTGTAAAACTTTGATAAAGCAAAACTTTGAAAGACAATTATTCAATATTCCTAAATGTACTGTAAGCCTTGAAAATAGAATGCTATTCATCAGGAGCTTGATTTAAAAATAACAAGGTCATCAGGCTTCTTTGAGCAGGAAGGAAACTCATCAACAACCATGGTTGTATAAGTCAGGATCCTGGCACTACAAGGGGATGGAACTCTGCTCAAGAAAATGTGGCACCTCGGACAAGTTTTTTCACTAATATTTTACATGTGAATTTTTTTGTGCCCTTTTCATTGATACTGCTTTGTCCAAGGGTTAATGGATATTATGAAGAGGAATACTTTTTATGGATAGACAACTTCTATATGGTGGCTGTCTGTAAATAATCTGGACCAGACAGTCCATGAGCAGCGATCTACACAATTGGGATACGATGCCATGTGTCAACCAAGTCAGCGATCCTGACCACCCGATCCCGTTAGTCACCTCTTACGACAAGCATGGGTTACTGAAGACCAATTGAAACCTGGATCTTGATTATTTACAGACCGGCGCCATACAGCTGGAATAATGCTGAGTGCAGTGTTAAACAACAAACCAACCAACCATCAAATAAGTAGGAAACTATAGTCCGTTTGGCTCAAAAGCGGACCGATGAATTGCAATCTAACTCGAAAACTAATAAACATATAATACTCAATGAAACGCTGATCATAATCAAAACCTCAGACCAACTCTGTGAGGTTTTGCAGAATTTATGTCCTAAAAAAACCCGTTGTTTAACAAACTATCATTAAAATATTGACACAATTCACTATTTGTTACGAGGAACGAGTGCAGTGAAAGGGACAGCCAGGTGTGCGAGAAAGGATGGAGACGGCACAGCACAGGTTCATGAATCAATAACTTTGTTGGCACTTGTGCACGTGCTTCTCGAACACCTGGTTGTCCCTTTCTCTGCACTCCTCCCTCGTAACAAATGGTGAACTGTGTCAAACTCTTAATGATAGTTTGTTAAACAACTTTTTTAAGTTTAGAACATAAATTCTGCAATCAAATTACAGAGTTGGTCTGATGTTTTGATTATGATCAGCGTTTCATTGAGTATTATGTTTATTAGTTTTCGAGTTAGATTGCAATTCATCGGTCTGCTTTTGAGCCAAACGGACTATAGTGAGTTCTCTGTGCAATGACAGTTCAGCTTACATTGCACAAACAGCACTGTTTCCCATTTGACATTGTGTTCTTTATGAGCCACAGCTTTGAGCCAAACATGTACCGATGACCAGTCAGCTACTACAAGCTCATTCACAACAAATCATAATCTGCCCTGTATCAATTACAACAGACCATAATGCTTCATTAATTCTAAAACCTTCACCAAAAACATTATCTTCAGTTATTGCCATTGAAACAATGAATGGTATTATGCAATTCAATTTATGGACGTAGAACTGATAAGACTTCAGTAAGGGTCAAGGTCATGACCTCTTTAAAGGACGGAGGTGAAGGACAGCATTAGGGGTCAGGCCACATTCGTCCAAGGTCAAAGAGGTGTCGTCATAGATACGATGTGGGTATGCAGACATGATCTGGTAATGAGGTAAACCATGTCTGAAAATATAAAACATGCATTAGATCCATGTTCAGGGCTACATTAAAACAATAGCCATAGCCCTAACTAAGCAGTTGCAAAATATATACTGATTGATGGAAACAGGTGATTTGTCTCAAATGTTCTGGAAAAGTACTCCACAACTGTTTATGCTCATTGTAAGATAAGAAACACAGTAATTGGATAATATGTCTTGACCATGCCATCATTATCAGGTAAACACAAAAATCTCATTTCTATTTTTATATTATCCATCAAGTCTGTGCTAAAACATTTGGAGATTACAAGCAAGAACTTGTCCTTTGTCATTCATCTGAATACTGTAAATCATGAAATTAATGCGAGCATTTTATTAATGGGATAAATGCATCTGTACTCTTCTCGCATTATTATAATGATGCATTTCAGTCTGACCATGTCTACTTTTGAGAACTTAATAAAAGACAGAAAACATAAATCTGTTGACAGTACACATTACACCAATACAGGTCACTTCCTCATTACAGGTATCTCAAACCACATGTACTAGTAATTATCACTGGTCATTGTTTAAAGTCACTCAAGCACATCAGCCAGACCGGACATTCTCCAGCCATGTGTTTGTTGTACCTTGGTAGATGACTTGTGTCTTTCAAGTCGGATTACGTTTATACATGTTGTCAAAAGACGAGTAGTAGCAAGCAAGCTCGTGATCAAACATGGCAGCGTAACCAAAACATCGTCAGCTCATTTCCATTCATTGCTTAACAAGCTCAATTCAGGTTATTTGGTAAATGACAAGTGTGAAAAGATAAAGAACAACACCACAGATTCAGGGTGTCACATTTTATCATCAACACAGATTCCTGAGCTCGCATTAATTTCGTGACGCCATTTTAGACTAGACCCTTGCACTCGCATTAAATTCGTGACGCATTAATTTCATGATTTACAGTATATGGATTAGTATCACTGTGGGTTTAGCAAACTAGTCCTAGGTATACTCCCCATCAAAAATTTAGACTCACTAGTGTAAATGTAGCCACCTACTTCAGTCGACTGTTCTGAACTAGATTTTGTACAATAATCCATACAGTTTAAAGGTACTGTTTACACATGAACTGATGTATTGTAAAACAAATTCGTGACGTTGAAAAGTTTATTGTCATGTGTTCAATAAATATTGAAACTCAGTGAACAATGGCGATTTTTTTATCAAAACTTTACACCAAAACGCAGCTGTTCACATGCAAGATATTAGCACATGCTTTTCAGCAATTGATGCATGATCCTCGTGCAAATAATCTGCATAAGGTTTGCAGATGTTTCCCCCAAATTAGTGGAGAAATTCATCTTCGTTGTAACCATATGTACATACATAACTTATAGTGATTGATTTAAGTGAGTCTACGCTTTTTAGCAAAGTCTAAACTTTAATGGGGACACCAGAAATGGGCTTTAACAGTATATATTGGAAAATATTGCAGGCTGCATAATGTGGAAAGGAATAATTATAAATCATAAGTTTCTGTTAAATAACGTTTTATTTAGGACTCTGTCAGGTAGAAACATACCGACCTGTGTACCTGTGTCTCAAAACCCGACCAGGAATCAAGGATCCAATTTCAACAGCTACATGTCACACATTTGATCTTTTTTCCTTTTTGTTCTTACTATGATCTGAATCAAAATACACTGATACTCACCTTTGTTTATTCAGATAGAGACGAAGATCTCCCACAGTGTTCTGGAACTTCATCTTGACTATATAAGTCTGGTCCCCAGACTTGATTCTCAGAGTGGTTATATCTCGGGGCGTCAGTGGCCGACTACCTTCATCTGCCTCCAGTCTGGGAATACACACAAGTCTCTCAAAGATGTATCAATATGTAGTGAAAAGTTCAGGAGTTTCAAATCAGATTTACCACCATTTAAAAAACAGACTACATCCCCAGGCTACACAGAGCCATGTATTTTGAAATGTACACAGTCATATCTCATTACTGCAATTAGCTACACAATGTTGAGCTGCACTTACCTTTTCTTCATCTCTGTCGTTACTGCAGTTTCCACGACAACGATTCCGCTGCTGGTCTTGCTATCTTTGCCCTAAGAAGAACATAAACTGGTCAGGGTATTGCTATACAGTTGACAATCATGATGCTTGTCTTTGTGTGTTAGTTGTTTAGCTCCGCACTCAGCAATATTCCAGCTACATGGCGTCTGTCTGTAAATAATCCAGTCTGGACCGGACAAACAGTGATATAAAACATCAGCATCGATCTACGTAATTGGGATACGATGATATGTGTCAGCCAAGTCAGCGATCCTCACCACCCTATCCCATTAGTTTTCTCTTATGACAAGCATGGGTGGCTAAAGATGCAAGATGTCTCCAAATTGGTAAGTTCATCCATGTTTCAGATGTGTACAAATTTCAGTATGACTTCCGCCAGTGTCCCCCCTAAATTTTAACAATGAGGAAAAAATATATGCATTTATTCAGGTAATATGATTTGAATGGAAGTAGGTTGTATCCTATGTTCAGATTAACTGCCAGCATAAGCATACACCGTTAGGTCTAGGGTTAGGTTTAAGGGGGCATACGGGGAAAGTCTTTCCCAAAAAGGCTTCCATTTCTTTATCAGAAATATTTTTCAAAAATATTATGGTCACAGTAACACGTTGGGTGTAATTCAAAGAGACACAAAAAAGTGTTTTTCAATAAGGTGAAAGTGTTTCATCTCTTCCTGTGACATCTTTTGAGGACTTTTTACCTGAAATTAAACTTCAATTCACACTTGTGACATTTTTGGTAGCACTGTATATCAGTAACTAACTTAGAAAGCGTAAAATTGTCCAACCACTCAATCCTCATCTTAAGGATGAAAAGACATAAATACTGAAGAATGTCATCAATACAGCTGGAGCTAAATGAGGCCTTTCCTCCCATATTCATTCAACTGTTCAATCAACCAAGAAACTAACACATAAGAGATGCCCAATCAAAACAGGTGTTCACGAATAGTGTCTGACCCTCTGACAAATCTGGCAGATTCCGATAGGGTCCGCTAGAAATCTACAACCCGCCAGCCCCAGTGTCTGACTGTATTTTTCACAATGACTTTGACTGAAGTTGTTATATGTCATATGTCATACCTGTTTGCTGTTTATAAATCTTATGTTTGTTAGTAATTTTAAATGCCAATTATAAGAAATTTTAAATCTGAAATGTGTGTTTAATTTCATTCTATGGGTCCTGTGAATTTTCAATGGGTCAGACAGACATCTGAAACTTACAGGACCCAATGTCTTGTTACTTTGAAACACCATCCGTGAACACTGCAAAACACTATTTGTATTGATACAATCATGACCTCACTACAGAGCAATGTTGTATTGTAACATACAAATCAACATGTCATTGGTTGACACATGTCATTGTATCCCAATTACCTAGATTGAAGCTCATGCTGTTGATCTCTGGATTGTCTGGTCCAGACTCGATTATTTACAGACCGCTACCATGTAGCTGGAATATTGCTGAGCGTGGCATTAAACAACAAATAAACTTAACATGACAACATATGAACAAACCTGCTGCATGTGGTCTCCCAGTGAGTTCCGGATGTCGATAACCTTCCCTTGTTTTATCACAGATGATGGCAGTTTGTTCAGAAACTGTTCCATGGACAACTGAGGGCCTGAAATAATTGCAGAAACAAAATCACAACAGTAGATATTAATTTAAGAAGCCTCGATAATTATGTTAACATAAAAAATGACATGTAGCTAATATGTACTTGAGGTGAGCAATGTTTGGCGTGACTGGATTCCAACAGAGGTGTTCTTCAGATGGATATTGTTTTGGGACATTGGATTCCAACAGAGGTGTTCTTCAGATGGATATTGTTTTGGGACATTGGATTCCAACAGAGGTGTTCTTAATGAATGGATATTGTTTTGGGACATTGGATTCCAACAGAGGTGTTCTTCAGATGGATATTGTTTTGGACATTGGATTCCAACAGAGGTGTTCTTTAGATGGATATTGTTTTGGGACATTGAATTCCAACAGAGGTGTTCTTCAGATGGATATTGTTTTGGGACATTGGATTCCAACAGAGGTGTTCTTTAGATGGATATTGTTTTGGGACATTGAATTCCAACAGAGGTGTTCTTCAGATGGATATTGTTTTGGGACATTGGATTCCAACAGAGGTGTTCTTTAGATGGATATTGTTTTGGGACATTGGATTCCAACAGAGGTGTTCTTTAGATGGAGATTGTTTTGACATTATTGTTCTTTAGGGACATTGGGAGATTGGATTCCAACAGAGGTGTTCTTTAGATGGATATTGTTTTGGGAGATTGGATTCCAACAGAGGTGTTCTTCAGATGGATATTGTTTTGGGACATTGGATTCCAACAGAGGTGTTCTTTAGATGGATATTGTTTTGGGAGATTGGATTCCAACAGAGGTGTTCTTTAGATGGATATTGTTTTGGGAGATTGGATTCCAACAGAGGTGTTCTTCAGATGGATTTTGTTTTGGGACATTGGATTCCAACAGAGGTGTTCTTCAGATGGATATTGTTTTGGGACATTGGATTCCAACAGAGGTGTTCTTAAGATAGATATTGTTTTGGGACATTGGATTCCAACAGAGGTGTTCTTTTGATGGATATTGTTTTGGGAGATTGGATTCCAACAGAGGTGTTCTTTAGATGGATATTGTTTTGGGACATTGGATTCCAACAGAGGTGTTCTTTAGATGGATATTGTTTTGGGAGATTGGATTCCAACAGAGGTGTTCTTCAGATGGATATTGTTTTGGGACATTGGATTCCAACAGAGGTGTTCTTAAGATGGATATTGTTTTGGGACATTGGATTCCAACAGAGGTGTTCTTCAGATGGATATTGTTTTGGGAGATTGGATTCCAACAGAGGTGTTCTTTAGATGGATATTGTTTTGGGACATTGGATTCCAACAAAGGTGTTCTTTAGATGGATATTGTTTTGGGACATTGGATTCCAACAGAGGTGTTTTTTAGATGGATATTGTTTTGGGACATTGGATTCCAACAGAGGTGTTCTTTAGATGGATATTGTTTTGGGAGATTGGATTCAAACAGAGGTGTTCTTTAGATGGATATTGTTTTGGGAGATTGGATTCCAACAGAGGTGTTCTTTAGATGGATATTGTTTTGGGAGATTGGATTCCAACAGAGGTGTTCTTTAGATGGATATTGTTTTGGGACATTGGATTCCAACAGAGGTGTTCTTCAGATGGATATTGTTTTGGGACATTGAATTCCAACAGAGGTGTTCTTTAGATGGATATTGTTTTGGGACATTGGATTCCAACAAAGGTGTTCTTTAGATGGATATTGTTTTGGGACATTGAATTCCAACAGAGAGGTGTTCTTCAGATGGATATTGTTTTGGGACATTGGATTCCAACAGAGCTGTTCTTTAGATGGATATTGTTTTGGGACATTGGATTCCAACAAAGGTGTTCTTTAGATGGATATTGTTTTGGGACATTGGATTCCAACAGAGGTGTTCTTAAGATGGATATTGTTTTGGGACATTGGATTCCAACAGAGGTGTTCTTCAGATGGATATTGTTTTGGGAGATTGGATTCCAACAGAGGTGTTCTTTAGATGGATATTGTTTTGGGACATTGGATTCCAACAGAGGTGTTCTTTAGATGGATATTGTTTTGGGACATCTGATTCCAACAGAGGTGTTTTCTTAGATGGATATTGTTTTGGGACATTCGATTCCAACAGAGGTGTTCTTTAGATGGATATTGTTTTGGGAGATTGGATTCAAACAGAGGTGTTCTTTAGATGGATATTGTTTTGGGACATTGGATTCCAACAGAGGTGTTCTTCAGATGGATATTGTTTTGGGACATTGAATTCCAACAGAGGTGTTCTTTAGATGGATATTGTTTTGGGACATTGGATTCCAACAAAGGTGTTCTTTAGATGGATATTGTTTTGGGACATTGAATTCCAACAGAGGTGTTCTTCAGATGGATATTGTTTTGGGACATTGGATTCCAACAGAGGTGTTCTTTAGATGGATATTGTTTTGGGACATTGGATTCCAACAAAGGTGTTCTTTAGATGGATATTGTTTTGGGAGATTGGATTCCAACAGAGGTGTTTCGTCAGATGGATATTGTTTTGGGACATTGGATTCCAACAGAGGTGTTCTTCAGATGGATATTGTTTTGGGACATTAGATTCCAACAGAGGTGTTCTTTAGATGGATGTTGTTTTGGGACATTGTATTCCAACAGAGGTGTTCTTCAGATGGATATTGTTTTGGGAGATTGGATTCCAACAGAGGTGTTCTTTAGATGGATATTGTTTTGGGACATTGGATTCCAACAAAGGTGTTCTTTAGATGGATATTGTTTGGGACATTGGATTCCAACAGAGGTGTTTTTAGATGAATATTGTTTTGGGACATTGGATTCCAACAGATGTGTTCTTTAGATGGATATTGTTTTGGGAGATTGGATTCCAACAAAGGTGTTCTTTAGATGGATATTGTTTTGGGAGATTGGATTCCAACAAAGGTGTTCTTTAGATGGATATTGTTTTGGGACATTGGATTCCAACAGAGGTGTTTTTAGATGCATATTGTTTTGGGAGATTGGATTCCAACAAAGGTGTTCTTTAGATGGATATTGTTTTGGGAGATTGATTCCAACAGAGGTGTTCGTCAGATGGATATTGTTTTGGGACATTGGATTCCAACAGAGGTGTTCTTCAGATGGATATTGTTTTGGGACATTAGATTCCAACAGAGCTGTTCTTTAGATGGATGTTGTTTTGGGACATTGTATTCCAACAGAGGTGTTCTTCAGATGGATATTGTTTTGGGAGATTGGATTCCAACAGAGGTGTTCTTTAGATGGATATTGTTTTGGGACATTGGATTCCAACAAAGGTGTTCTTTAGATGGATATTGTTTGGGACATTGGATTCCAACAGAGGTGTTTTTAGATGAATATTGTTTTGGGACATTGGATTCCAACAGAGGTGTTCTTTAGATGGATATTGTTTTGGGAGATTGGATTCCAACAAAGGTGTTCTTTAGATGGATATTGTTTTGGGAGATTGGATTCCAACAAAGGTGTTCTTTAGATGGATATTGTTTTGGGACATTGGATTCCAACAGAGGTGTTTTTTAGATGCATATTGTTTTGGGAGATTGGATTCCAACAAAGGTGTTCTTTAGATGGATATTGTTTTGGGACATTGGATTCCAACAGAGGTGTTTTTAGATGGATATTGTTTCGGGAGATTGGATTCCAACAGAGGTGTTCTTTAGATGGATGTTGTTTTGGGAGATTGGATTCCAACAGAGGTGTTCTTTAGATGGATATTGTTTTGGGAGATTGGATTCCAACAGAGGTGTTCTTTAGATGGATATTGTTTTGGGAGATTGGATTCCAACAGAGGTGTTTTAGATGGATATTGTTTTGGGAGATTGGATTCCAACAGAGGTGTTCTTCAGATGGATATTGTTTTGGGAGATTGGATTCCAACAGAGGTGTTCTTCAGATGGATATTGTTTTGGGACATTGGATTGCAACCTTGTTGCATATGTTATACTAGTATTTGGTATTACACTTTCTCAGTTAAGTACAAATTCTAGTACTTTTGTTGGGTTGAGACCCATCCAGGATTTGAACCCACACCCTCAGAGTAAGGCACCTTAACGCCAGCACACAAAGTCAGCCAGCTAACCCGTTCAGCTACCGCGGTACCAGTACTAGAACTTGCACCTCAAGATACAAGAGTGGACAATATTATCACAATAAATGTACAACTCACCTGGAAGTTGACTTGTGACCTCACCAGAAGACTCGGACGAAGCATTAGAGGTCAGATCATGATGCTATACCAACTTGTCCAGGACTATATTATCACAATAAACGTACAACTCACCTGGAAGTTGACTTGTGACCTCACCAGAAGACTCGGATGAAGCATTAGAGGTCAGATCATGATGCTATACCAACTTGTCCTGGACTATATTATCACAATAAATGTTCAACTCACCTGGAAGTTGACTTGTGACCTCACCGGAAGACTCGGATGAAGCATTAGAGGTCAAATCATGATGCTATACCAACTTGTCCTGGACTACATTATCACAATAAACGTACAACTCACCTGGAAGTTGACTTGTGACCTCACTGGAAGACTCGGATGAAGCATGAGAGGTCAGATCATGATGCTGTACAGACTTGTCCAGGTTGCTGGGGACGAGACGAGATGGCTTCGTGTCTCCCCCCAACAGCTGCCCTGCTCCAGTAAACAGATCCTGGTGCCGCTCGTTTTTGAAGGATACCTTGCGTAAATCTGTCACCTGGAAGAGTTCATTTGGATGATTGACAGGATTCCTTTGATATGATCATTTCACTATCAAAGACTCCTCTTTCTATCTGTAGATGTATCGTTACAACTGTCAATCAAATCAGTCAAGTCACACATTACAACCACCCAATTCTCAATTGCATCAGAAGAATGGAGGGCTCACTTTACTCACTTTACTTTACTCATGCTTCACCGTGGGATTATCAGAAACTAGAGAGATCAAGACAGTCCACTTTCTATAAAAATCTGCTAATCTTAATGATTCACTAAACCTGCCTACGCTCTAAATAAAGAGAAATGTGAAGTCTGGACTAGAAAAATGAAAACATCCTCACCATTTGGCTCTTACCATATGTAATGCAGGGCTCCAGATAAGGGCCGTATCGGCGTATGTACAGATAAAATATATGCACGATACGGTAGGAAATAATTTAGAAACAGTAGCAGATACGCACCACAGCAGTGGTGTATGGTCTTAGAATCATTTACAGATGTATTTATCTGAAAAAAGTATTGTTTTATTGTTTTTTACCTGTTTACACAAGAGTAGCAATGTTGTGGTGCATATATGAAACGAAACACAATATCACATACTCCATTAAATTCCATTCAGTACTCTAAAAGTTTTTCCAGTACTCCTACATTTAAAAAATAAGGAGTACGTACTCCTGATGTTGAAAAATTATCTGGAGCCCTGGTAATGGATAACGAGGACCGATTTTCCTCCAGGATCCCGAAATGGACCATATTTAATATCAAGGCTCCGCTCCACAAAGGATCTCATCCCTTAGACTATGTCAAAGAAAGGGATTACCTTACTGCTACAATCTTACAGTTACACCTCTGTCAATAAGGAGTTACCTTAAACGGCACGCCATCCGGATAGCGGTTTTGAAGTTCTGATGGAAAGTAACCATCATTGAGATCTTTAACACAAAGCTGCGTTTCAGGATCCGAGAAGGGTCGGAATGGCCCCTTAAACAACATGATTCCATTTGCATAGAAGGTCAGGGGATTGGATCCTGAATCTTAAAACACAAATCAAATAGGAAAAGACATTAACACAATAACAACACACATCCCTAAATAACGGTAAATAGATATCACATAAAACAATTGTTATTTTGAAATTCACTGAAAGGTATTATGTTCCAGCCTGGTGTTAATTTCAAATCTATGCACTGTATACTCATCAAAGAAAGTTAAGCAACAACACAGTTTACTCAAGCTTGTGGATAACTTATTTATTAATGATTTTATTTTCTAAAAATACGAAAATACAACTGTACTTTACCTGGCCAAATACCACAAGCAACAGAAAGATTCACTGTACAAAAAAGTGCTATGGTTGAAATTGAGACATAACTGAGCAAGGGTTATCATATAAAGTTACTATGCATCGTAACATGTTTGGTAACACCAAAACAAAGGGGATTTCGAATGTTTCAAATAAGACTTGCAAGGACTGCCAACTGACCAGAGCAGAACACCCCTTTAAGAGATGGCAATGATCCAGCTTACCCTCAGTCTAGCTCCATCTGTGGTGTGTTGGATCTTAGCTACCCCCTCGCCAGCCAGCACATTCAGGTCCCGGATGTTTTCTATAATACGGTCATAGTCCACGTGGAATGCAGGAGTTCTTGATACTGATGATCCTGAAACAGGATGAGGATTAGATTTGTTGATGGAGGTCATGTCATGTCCATGGCAACTGAGACATTAAGGAGATGAAGGTCATGTCGTGTCCATGGCGACTGAGACACTGGGAAGATGGCGGTCATGTCATGTCCATGGCGACTGAGACACTGGGAAGATGGAGGTCATGTCATATCAGTGGCGACTGAGACACTGGGAAGATGGAGGGCATGTCATGTCCATGGCGACTGAGACACTGGGAAGATGGAGGTCATGTCATATCAGTGGCGACTGAGACACTGGGAAGATGGAGGGCATGTCATGTCCATGGCGACTGAGACACTGGGAAGATGGAGGTCATGTCATATCAGTGGCGACTGAGACACTGGGAAGATGGAGGGCATGTCATATCAGTGGCGACTGAGACACTGTTGTACGAGGGTGTATCAATGAAATATGCAATCTAGATGGAAACAGTGTTCCAAATTTAGGGTAGTCTTGTGGGTAGAGATTATAAATCTTGGAATATGATATGATATGATACTTTAACTTCAAACACGTGATATGAAAGATAACCATGACTTCAAACAATGTGGAAGAACTACACGTTTCAAGACAAAAGAACATCATGTGTTTCCATATTTGCAAGTGTTACTGAGTATTTGATGCTCAAATTTTTTATTTGGAACAAACGATTGTATCTGGAGGTTACACACGAACGAAAGAACTAACAGAGAGCTTCATCATGTTTATCAGCTGCTGCAATACGTACAACTTTACCCTGTTAGAGACACTAATGAGTAGGGTTAGGTCACTGGGTCATCATAAGGGCCAATCCTGGATACAAAGCTGATCTTGGTAAACTAAGGTGAGGTGAGGTGAGGTGAAATTGGGTTTTACGTCGTACTTGAGAATATTTCGCTCATATGACGACGTGCATGCGTGTGTATGTGTATGTGCGGCTGCTTGTACTAGCCCAGACTTCAGCTGGTTTTATAGTGCTAGCCCACTGAGATACCATGCCGCAGTGAAGCATGAATACCCCACTCAAACACATTATACTGACTCCGAGCCGACCAGTCCTTGTTGTACCCATTAATGCCGAGCGCCAGGCAGGGACCAACAAGTACCATATTTTAACGTGTTTTGGTATGACGCGGCCGGGGATCGAACCCGCAACCTTCCGCTCTCCGGGCGGACGCTCTAACCACTACACCACGGAGGCGGTCGGTAAACTAAGGTAAAACAGCATGCACATTGAGCTGCATGTTGGAGACCACTGGGGATTCATCCAGCCTCACTGCTTCCTGCCTACCTGGTCTCCACACATCGTCCTCACTGCCTCCACTGCCGCCGCTGGAGTAAACATCGTCATTATACACGTCAGACTCAGGGTCAACCTTCTCCCCCACCCATACCATGCCATAGTCAGACAGGAAGGCCTGAAAAAACATTATAAACATTATAAAACATTAATCCCACAGACAAATCATTAAGAGACACTCCCCAAACCTCCCCAGGTTCTATGACAAGAAGGGTGTGATCACAGACTACAGCACTTGTTTTACCTCTGTCTTATGTAATGGAACCAAGGGCTCTGTAGCTCACCTATCTCACATTGTATTTGCATGTGGAGTTTGTGTGTTTGTTGTTTAACGCCCCACTCAGCAATATTCCAGCTACATAAATAATTGGGTCTCGACCAGAAAATCAAGTGATCAACGGCATGAGCATCGATATATGCAACTGAGATGTGATGACATGTGTCAACCATTTAGTGAGTGAGTATGGTTTTACACCGCTTTTAGAAATATTCCAGCAATATCACAGCAGGGGACACCGGAAATGGGCTTCACAAATTGTACACATGTGGGGAATCAGACCTGGGCCTTTGGCGTGATGAGCCTGACCAAATGAACACGTATCACTTCCAGTGACAAGCATAGGTTGCTCCAGGCCAAGTTTCACCTGGATCTTCACGGGTAACAACATACGGTAAACCTTCTTTGATCTTGAATGATGAGGACTCCTTATGAATGGTAATTACACATCTTAAAATCAATCTTTTACTCAGAAGTGTGTGAAAGATTCAGACATGCATATCTGATTTCAGTACTTCAAAACTAATAAAACTGGGGAGTAAACAACATAAAAAAATAAAACTACACTAGTATAGTGTTGTGAAGAAATAAAGGAACCATTTAAGAAAGCTGGATTTGTGAAAGAAACCATGCATCCTCATTTGAACTAATTGGAAAGGTTCCCTCTGACTTTCTGAGTAATTCCCCATGTGAAACTGGAAAAGAATGTCTTCTTGGCAGTGATTGCACTTCAGGTATTAATCCCCAAGGAATCCCTGACTGATATACAGGCATTTGACTGTCTTATGTTGTCAACATAAACTTAATTGTTAGCAATGACAGCTGCAATGGTTACTCCTACTAACAGTGCTTGCAAATTTAACAAAACATATAAAGAGTATAACATATGTTATATTTTGATTACGCTTTCTCAGTAAAGTACAGATTCTAGTACTGTTGTTGGCTTGGTATACTAATGTTTAGTCCCTGAATATGTTGTCATTTTGATAGTAACAAATACATCCATTAAAATTGAAAAGGAGACCCAGTGAGTTGGGAGATTAAGCCTGAACTTGGGGAAATCTAGACACTTCATTTAGAGCTTTAGCACTGTAGGGAGGGCTAGGCAGTAGGGACAATAATGAGGTCCCGGGACGGTGAAACAGACTATTGGGTTGAGTCTCATCCGGGATTCGAACCCACACACTCAGAGTCAGGCACCTAATAGCCAGCACACAGAGTGAGCTGCTTAACTCACTCAACCACTGCGGCTTAGACAGCTGACTTTGTGTGCTGACGTTTAGGTGCCTGACTCTGAGGGTGTGGGTTCAAATCCCGGATGAGACTCAACCCAACAAAAGTACTAGAATCTGTACTTTACTGAGAAAGAATAATCCCCAATATAACATATGTTACATTTGACCACTTTCTAAATGGTATAGCGTATTCATGTAAAATGTGTTGCCAATCCCCAGTGTTCAAACATGAAGCATTCAATGATCCACTGAGTGTGCCAGGTAAAAACAAAACAAATTCTTTTTCTACAACAATGATCACTTCTTCAAAGGAAGAAAGTCATTGGTGGCTGTCATGGAATAACAGTTCATACAAAAAAATAATTATAAATTATTACCACTACAAGCGATATATTAGGATTCAGATATTAGGAAAATATAAATATAGAATATTAGTTTATCATGATCTGTAATAGCTTAGAGAAAGACTTTAGTCAAAAGTAATAAAACTCATCTCACAGACATACTATTGAAAAAGGTATAAGTTACGACTGCACAATTTCACAGATGTTCAAGATAAATCCTAGCCTAAGATATCAAGGACTCAACTGTAAGACAAACCTTTCAGTAAGACAAAAGTTATGTCTGGACGGTTTAATAAACGTTTTGGATAAAGTAAACATGTCATCACCTATATTACAATAGATGCGCTTACTCTAAATATAGAATATTAGTTTTTCATGACAGTGCTTTCAAAAAGATTGGGTATCCTTAAATTCTCAACTTGTCCAAATGACACCAATTATACATTTAAACTCAATATCAAAATATTAAAATGCACACATGTGTAATTTTCGATATCATTTATCAACTGACACATATTTGCTCCATTTTTTTATTATTACAGAAATAAATAACTGTAAAAGAAATTCAAACTATTTCCGCATAACTTATATACATGTTTTTATAATGCCATTTCACAGCAGTGCAGTTACAAAAAGTTCAGATTCAATGTTCTTTTGATGTCTGTGAAACTTAGGGTAGCCTTGATATATACTGACACTTCTATTTCTGTCCAAGTGATAAAGAGAAAATATTGCCAACAGATATCCAAATATAGCAATTCACGTTGCTGAAACCATGAAATTATTTTAAGCCAACTCCACAAATATCTGAGAAACTTTTATCTCTGAATTACTTTTAAAACCATAATTCCTTAATGCTGTATCAGCAATACCAAGGCCAAGATCTGACACAGCTCAAACGAAAGTCTTCTGAGATGATTTCACGGATACTCTGCAAGAGGCACTGTCATTCATTAAGCATTCATCCAGGCGACACTCACAAAGATACCAGAATACCCAAGGTCTCCCTTTAATGTCTCCGATCATGATACACGTCACCTGATAGTAACACCTTCTAATAGCTGATTGCTGGAAGACATGAATATTTCACGTTGACTAGTAAGGGCAATTAATCCAAACTCGTGTTGTCATACAAAGGTTTAATCAACAGTCTTTTCGTTCAGGACTTGGGAGAACAAAGACATTCATAATTAATGTCCTTCTGAATCTTGTCTGCTACGAACATGATCAATCTTATTCTAAACTTTTTAACATGCAATTAACCAGACTGATTCTAATTTCTTCAGCCAACAAAAAGTCCTTCAATAGTGAACCAAATTCATAGTCTTCACATGTTTTGTTACATAAGTAATGATATTCATTGCACCAAATTCCTGACAATTACTATACCATTCCTGTAATCAAAGAATTACTAAATTTTAAAGTTTAGTACACTAAACCATTTCATTACTTTACAGGACCTTCATATTTTCTTTAAGGACCCTTGAAATTAGTAATTAGTGGTCCTCTTAAGACCTCTAGTCCTATAGATCAAGGTAAAACCATGGAGGTGGTAAAGAATGAGTGAGTGAGTATGTTTTACACCACTTTTAGCAATATTCCAGCAATATCATGGCAAGGGACACCAGAAATGGACCTCACACATTGTACTCATGTGGGGAATCGAACCCAGGTCCTCAGAATGCCAAGCTGGCGCTTTAACCATTAGGCTACCCCACCACCCCAGGTGGTACAGAAATGATACTGAATCATTTCCCAAAGTCTTGACAGGTGATTAGCTCCAGAATCCATGCATCCTTCCTTTGTTTTGGGCAGTGACAGTTTGCTCAGGGTTCATCCTTCTATCAGTCCCTCTGGGATTCCACGGCAAATTTTTAAGAATTACGCATCCCATTTTTGCAAAATTCTGCAAAGGATTCTGCAGTTAAATAACAACAAAAAATAATAAAGAATTTCAACTTTAATTCTTAAACACAAAGCTGTAAATGTTTTAGAGCTTCATGACATTCAAGGTACAGCTGGCAGCTTGTTTTTTCTTGCAAGATGGGTTTTTTTTATTTAGAAAGATGATTTTAAGAGTGTGAACAGGAATGACATTACACACTCTACAAAATATTGTTTTGTTTATAGGCAATCTTGATTCAACTTTCAAAATAAGTAAATTCCGCGGCAGAAAAATGGCAAATTCTGCAGGTAGTCTGCATGAAAATGCATTTCCGTGGACCAGACGTTTTTCTGCATGAAAAGGTATTTTCCACGATTTATTCTGCAACCGTGGGATCACGGAATCCAGGAGGGACTGTTCTATGGAGGTTTCCTCAGAGGTATCGTATCAGAGTAAAAGATTTGATTTAAATAAGATTTGAGTATTATGGTTATACTCAACAAACGTTACACAAGTATTTAGGATGACACTTTCTCAGTAAAGTAGAGATTTTAGTACTCAGCCATTATGGCTTCTACCTGAGTGAGTTAGATAGCTGTCACTGTGTGCTGGCGATTAGGTACCTGACTCTGAGAGTGTGGGTTGGAATCCTGGTAGGGACTTCAAATAGTACAAGAAATTGTTTCTTTACTGCAAATGTAGTCCTAATATAACATGCTGCAACTGACCCCTTTCTAAAAGGCATTCAGTATTCATGGTTATACTCATTTCTTTACTAAACCATGAGAAAGAACATGGACGACTATTGTTACCATTATCAGTGAGTGAGTGAGTTTAGTTTTACGCGCACTCACCAATATTCCAACTATATGGCGTCAGTCTGTAAATAATCAAGTCTGGACCAGACAATCCAGTGATCAACAGCATGAGCATCGATCTGCGCAACTGGGAACCGATGACATGTGTCAACCAAGTCAACAAGCCTGACCACCCGATCCCATTAGTCGCCTCTTAGAACAAGCATGGGTTAGTGAAGATCAATATTCTAACCCGGATCTTCACGGGTGTACCATTATCAGTACTTAATGGGCTGCTATACATCACATTCCTCCATCATGTATGAATATATATATTTTACATGGCTCTATTCTGTGTAGAGGAGACACTTGTCTATTATTAATCAGCTAATGAAATGAAACCATGAATAACTCACAGCAGTCAGATGAGTCTCCCTCGGTGCATGAAATATTTGCACACTCTACCCCTGCCTGACTAGGAACAATGTGTGGAGGTGATTTTATCAAGGCTGTTGTACATGTGAAGCATGTAAAGCCAGAATGTCATTTGTGATGGCCTTGATGCCATCTGTCTTGCTGCACTCAGGCTTGACACATGTTACAATTACCTCTTTCTGATACTACAATTTCTCTGCATTTTTACAACATACTTGTGTTATAGGGACTAATTCAGGACAGCCATCGTTCAAATATTTAAAAACTAAAAACTATGTACTCAAGACATGTGAGACTTTATTGTAATTATTTATATGATGCTAATCTGTATTCCATGTAATCCATATCACTTCCTGCATTGTACATTTTTGTTTGTCATGTAACTAAAGAAGTTTCAACTCAACTATGCCTTCATCTTCATCAACGCACAATTCGTCTTAAACATGAGCTAATTCCCCAGTTGACGCATGTCTAAATCTGAATACTGGGCAGTTATTCATTTAATCATGATGATAAGCAAGTAATGAGCGTAGGCATTAACAACTGAAAATTATTCTGAACATCAGAAATAAATCTGGAGTCATTTACAATACGAAACTTCAAAAACACATGCACAGTGATCACCTTTTGCCATGTTGGATATTTTTTAACAAAATCATGCTTCAGATATATAAATATAATTATACAACAAAATGAACACACAAAATCCCTCTGTGAGTTGGAAAAACTAGTGCACAACTCATGTAAGTTACTGATAACATCAGTCTATGTTCTGAAAGAACTCATCGCACAACTAGGGTCTGTTTAAGTGACTTTTCGATTGATCTTGTTGAAACTATGTAAGATAAACAAAATATAAAATAGGGTTGCATAGCATGGTGCTCATAAAGATACAGACAGGACCTAATTCTGTTTTGAGTAATAAGCGTATTACATCTTGATTATATGACAAATATCTTCGGACCCATTTTCCATCTAGCTTCATTTCAGATGTGACTTCAGTATATCAATTTCCCCCCCAAAAAAACAACAACAACAACAATATCTCTTGCACCAGAGCTCTTGGACAGCTATTTGTAGCATTGTACCTTTCAAGACAGGATATTTATTCCTTCCTTCAAACACTGTAGCAATTGGATCCAGGGCATTCATCATAATAAACAGGAGACACAAATAGTAGACCAATGAAGGTCTGGCTTAGAATGAGCCTTCAGTAACCCATGCTTGTCGTAAGAGGCAACTGACGAGATCGGGTGGTCAGGCTCGCTGACTTGGTTGACACATATCATCAGTTCCCAACTGCACAGATCGCATGCTGTTGATCACTGGATTGTCTGGTCCACACTCCATTATTTACAGACAGTCACCATAAAGCTGGAATATTGCTGAGTGTGGCGTAAAACTAAACTCACTCACTCACAAGTAGTGCAATGGATAAACGGAGGATGATTCTTTCCCAAACTGTATGAATGTATAGATTAGGGATGCCACGACACATGCATTGATACTTTTTTCTAAGACGATACAATAGTCGATACATTCAAAACTGTATCGATATTAAGTTTTGAAAGTATTGGTTTAAGTATGTTTATGTATCATTTACAATTTGCAATTGTACCATGTTTTTTTAATTTATGATAATTATAAATGATTATTTTTCATGCACAAAGATGGGAAATTAGAACTTTTTAATCTCTGAGAATAGAAAATGTTGATCTTTTCATGGACAATTATAAAATATGAAATATTAATGTTCAAAATGTAACTAAATTTACGCAATAATGCCACCAAAAATAGGTATCGTGACACGTATCGAATCATGAAACTTATGTATGGTGACATCCCTATTATAGGAATATTTATAGGTTTGTTTAACACCCTAATCTTCCAGCTACAGTGAGACCCCGCATTCCAGGACACATTCGTTTTTCGTAAATCATCCGAATAACTGAATATCCGGATATCCGAATTTCTGTCATCCAGGCTTTGATGTTGAAACGGTAGCGAGCATACACTTCTAGTTTATAATCACTTCCAAAACAGTTTTGATTTGCCAATTACAATTCACTCTGTATCAGATAGGTCTACTAATCAGCACCAATACCCTGCTGATTGGTCATTAATCCGGATTAGCAGACCTTGTCTCGTATCAAGACACGTGGGACTCTCGTACTTCACTTCACACGGTCAGCGGAAGATCAAAGCTTCCTGCAGATAAGGGAGTAATTTTTTTGTTGATTTAGCCGGTTGGTTTGTAAAAATTATCGTCCAGAAACGGAAACCACATATCCGTTATAGACAGTCACTTTTATAATGTAAGAGATTGGTTTTTATGAAAACTGTCCGGGAGGCGAGGTTTCCAGATATCTGAGGTCCAGGTATCCAGGGTCTCACTATATATGCTATCTGTCTGTTAATAATTGAGTCTGGACCAGACAATCCAGTGACTGACATCATGAGCATCGATCTATGACTAAACTTCGGTATTTTCACTGGAAGGATCACATTTGCCAAGGATCGGCCGCACTCATCTAGTGCTTTCAGAAAACAGGATGTTTAGAGGCAACATTAAAATCAATACCAATGAACTGGTCAGCGTAGGTAATTTATCAGACCCAAGCTTTTACACTTTCTCCACTGTATGTGCTACTGATCAACAATAACAGGAATGTCAAGAAAGAAATTCTTCAAATACCTCCATCTCATGAATCTGTTGTTGTAGTAGAAGACATTTCTTCTCCAGCTCCTGAACCTTCTCACCAGAGTTACCTTCCCCTGAAATCCAATACCCGATATCACATGTCACACAAAAAAGTGATATGTACCTATTATCTGATGAAACAATGTGCAGAACTACCATGGTTTCAGAAGATATTTTCCAACATGCACTTACAGGTATAATCATTAATTCTCTGCTTTTTTTTAACTGACAAGATAGCTTTTATCAAAACTGTATTGGGAATACACTGTGACTATATTCCCCAATATTTTATGGGGAATATTTGCCAGATTTAATAACTTTGATTCTATATGATTCCAAATATACCGAGAGATGACATGCCCACATGATAAATGAGTTTTTGGTTTTGATTCCCCATTGCCAATGAGCAATTAGCTTTTTGCTTTTAAATATGTAAAATATATAAACAAACTTGGAAATTTTAACTATAAATTGTATATTTATATACTTATCCTATCTCACGACTTGCACCTCTCTCTCTTCATTCGACCATGAGTGGAAACGAATTAAACTTTGCTCCAGGCCTTCCTTGTCCCAGTCCCCGTGCTGTGCATGCCTTCCTGCCTTAGCCATGCTCACTAGGCCGTGACAGCACGTGGCATGCGCAGTCCTCACCCACGTGATCACCTTCCATACTCATTCTCGATCTTGGAGCCGTAAAAGGACAAAACCGGAACGGTGGTAATATATGTAGTGGGGAGGTAGGGTGGGACTTTATCGTGTGAGATAGGATAAGTATATAAATATACAATTATAGTTAAAATTTCCAAATTTTTAAACTTATCCTTTCTCACGACTTGCACTTATCCCACGGTAGGAAGGTGGGTCATAGATTACCCGAAGTCCAAGCGATAACAGCTAAGCGTTATGCCAAAACAACCGTAGGAAGCAACTACAAGGTAGGCCAATAACTACCAAAGTTACTACGTGTGAGGGTTAGTTCGAACCCATTGACTTACTAAGCACAAGTGCTCCAGGGACTGGGATTCCCGAGCAATGTGGTGTTCAGTCACTACCTTCACGAAAGTGAAAGGACGCAGCTTAGCGAGTGTAATCAGTCGCATTACCACGATTTCCAAGGTCTGACGACCAGTATCGGGCCAGCCCCTGCTTTGAAAAACCCCCACAGACACCGTCCCGTGGAGGGTGAAAGGGTAATTGAATCGGAAAACTCACAAGTCCCAGAAGAATCGAAGACACAAATCAGAAATAAAATTCAGAATTTTATTCAGATTGTACACAAAGCAGAAACGATCGCAACTGGTGATCATCTGCGCTGAAGCTGATGGTTTCTCGAGTGCCGAACAGGTGATAATGAACAAGTGCTGAATTCCAATTCGTTGTGATGAAGGGCCCTTTCTCCTGATGACCACTGCTAGGCCACTTGATGGAGAAAGTGAGCTATCTCCTGTTATAAGAACGTTCAATAAGTCGAGCAACTACGTCAGTTCTGACGGAGTGCTCAATGTAGTATGTTCGGCGCATGGAGATTGTCAGTCAATCTACAGGAACATTCACATTGTAAACGAATTGTAGAAATTCGTACGATCGGTGACCTCAGGAACGTTTCGGTTGGCCGAACAAAATAATGGTGCGCCAGGTGGAGTGATAAAGGTAGTAGATCGCTGCCTGGTGACAGTCCTTGCATAACTGCAGTGACTTCTGAACTCAGTGCTTGAACTAGTCAAACCGTTCACGGTTGTTTCTGTCTGTCACCCTCGATAAGCAGTCTCTCTCGACTGGCTGTCAAAATCCCGACACATTCACTCTTACCCCGGGAATGGCAGTGTTCATTGTTACTAGCATTTAAAGGCTGGACTTGGTATCCTATTCTTGGGACCAAGACAAGTCTGCAAGGGCACTTCATAGTCACTCTAATCATCAAAATTCCGGTAAACAAACAGTAGTCCGCCATTTGCAAACGTTATACACGAGTGACAAAAAAACGGACAACATGGTCTTCGGTTAACCGGGCGAGTCGCAACTCATAAATTCCGGGCTGAGCTATGCTGGCTATTTGACAAAACATCACTGCTGGTACCATGCGCAAAACTTCACCCATTTGTTATCTGTCCAGAAACTTGCTTATCATGTAAAACAAAGGGAGCTGAAGATGACGAACCATCTGCAACAATTGCACCCAGCGATACACAAACACGCTGTTACCAGTAGTCTGTAGTAACAAGACTCATCGGAGCGTCGTAAAGTATTCCTGGCTAGCAAGCGTATCTAGTTATGCCATATCGGGTGGTTGTAGAACTGATATCTACACCGAAGGGTAGAATCGTTGAACCGAATCATTCATCAAAGGTGAAGATCGGATGGTAGATTAAATCTGGAATGAGATGAGCCCCCCGGTCACGGAGGACTCTTGAGAACTGGGATCGTCAGACCGTCAAGTGCCGAGCGTGATATCTCTAGATGACTGCGCTACTGACATCACATGTAAATCAATTCGGCATGGTGAAGCACATAGCTACTACCTCTGTACAACCATCCGAAAAAGGGGTACAAGGTGGGATAAGTTATGTGACTAATAACATTAAGCACCTCACAAGCCGTAAGGTAAACCGGATAAACAAATCAAATTGTCGAGCTTAGAGCTTGCCACTTCGTAATGAGGAATTCAGCGCCTCACAGATGCCCTGAAAACTATGATCCTGTTGAAAACTAGCAGAGTTCGACAAATTTGGCCCAATCTAGATGCAAGTTCACGAACCTCGTTGAGGATGTGCAAAACCAATGTTGACAAGTCCCGATCCTTCATGTTGAATGCAATCAATTGAACATCTGGTATCTTGCTCTAGGTAGCTGTAGGAGGTCGGCGAACCATGCGATCATGTTTGTCGAATCAACAAAAAACCATTCCTGCCTCTTATAGGCGACTGGCGTAGCCTGAACCATGAAAACAAAGACGAGGTTCGATGTGGGTTAAGTGTCTTGGGAGGCATCCCAGACACATTTGGCATAGGCTCTGATAGGCTGGTAAGATGCGCCGTGTTGGAAATAACACGAGTGAATCGTGAATCGCCCAATTCATGAATAAGCTCAATTGCTGGCAAGGTCCGAGGAACGGATTATTGACGAAAGCTGACAGTTCGATAAATGCTGACAATTCAGTGAACTTGAACGGCCAGGTGAACTGGTTCGACGATAAGGAGCTTTTCGGCCTTGTGAAACGGTACGAGTCGGGCTGGTAAATCGGTTCAGGGTGGTGAACCGGAATGTTGACGTGATCTGAATCAGTCCGTGATCTGGATCGGCGTTATGATCTGGATCGTGACTGTGATCTGGATCGGTTCGGTAATCCGGAACGTTTAAATGATCTCAGCTGATGGAGAGATCTAGAATGCTCAGATGAACCGGTGAGGCGAGGTGAAATGTTCCGGCCGAGGTGAATCGTTTCGGTGCTGTGAATTGAATCGATGATGTGAACCGTTTCAGCGATAAGAAACTGTGTCGATGTCGTAATCCACATACGCCGTGGTGAAACGGTTCGGTCTGGTGAATCCATTTGGTATGGCGAACCGATTCGGTGTGGTGAATTTATTCGGTATGGCGAAACGGTTCGGTCTGGAGAATCCATTCGGTATGGCGAACCGATTCGGTGTGGTGAATCGGTTCGGCGATTTGACGATGTAGATCGGATGTGTGAGTCAGCTGGCAACACAGAGCGTTTTGATGAGGCGGAACCACGAGAAGACATCTTATGATGCGCCAATAAAATTATCACCGTCCGACATGGGAATCTCCGGACGACGAGCAGTTAATACCGGTCAGCGTTAAAAGCGGGGGTTTGTCCGGTGATCAACTGTTGAAGTGTAACGAGCTCGGTCTGCCAGCCAATGGGAGCAAGCATGTCTACATGCTCTAAAAACGTCCTTGATAAGGGAGCACATTCCCGACAACGTTTGCTCCAGGAACACAGGTCAATACAACCCACACATGACGAGTGGGGATCCGAGGAAGTAAACATTGTTACAGTGTGCGCAAAATTACGCTACTTAGGGTCAACAGCAAGAAGCATGGTGTCTCAACCCGGCGCTGGAGAGGGCTCAAGCGCAGGATTCCAAGACTCAGCAATAACCTATGACCGAGGCAATAGGTCATAGGTTCCACTGAACCATAACGCAGCCTAGCAGGTGAAACCACCCGCACAGAACGATGTTAATGAGGGGAACTATCACGTAAAGGTGCTGACCGTAAGTGCTCACTAGCTCTAGACTGACAAGACGGGATATCCTGATTCATCTGAGGTGAATGAGACCGACTACGAGAATCACTCTGACGAAAACACACCGTACGGCTAGGTGAACCGGATCGAAATGGCCAACCACTTCGACCAGGTGAGACTGAACAACTACGTGAATCAAAACGCTGTGGTGAATTGATTCGACTATGAGATGGTGAGTCGAACCGAAACCTATGTTGAGGTGAACTGAGTCGGGAATGTGAACCGGTTCGTCCTGGTGAACCCATTTGATTATGTGAATCAGTTCGTTCAGGTGAACCCATTCAATTACGTGAATCAGTTCGGTCAGGTGAATCCATTCGATTACGTGAATCAGTTCGGTCAGGTGAACCCATTCGATCACGTGAATCAGTTCGGTCAGGTGAACCCATTCGATCACGTGAATCAGTTCGGTCAGGTGAACCCATTCGATCACGGTCTGGTGAGCCGGCTCGGCTGAGTGAACTAGTTCGACCCTTGGCAATGACACGGCTAGGTGAATGGTTCCGTTCTAGTGAACCAACACTGACATTAGACCCAATTCTGATAGGTGAAATGAATCGAGGTGGTGAATCGGTTCGGACTGGTACATTTGAAGGACGACGAGAGCTCGAGCGTGACGGGATCTAGAACGACACTTCCCAGCAATAGAAGAACGAATTCGAACCTCCGAACCAGATGGTGACTCAACTCGTGTGGGTGAATTGTTTCGGTGGGATGAAACCGTACGAAGAGGAGAACGGTTATGTTCCAACCACGCCGATCAACGCTTCAATGATGAATGCTTGGATTTAGAAGTTTTCGAGGACTTTGAACGGTCCGAAGAACCGGATCTACGAGATAAAGTAGATCGCAGGTCTTGTGTAGAGGAAATATCAGTCATTACCACCCTTGCATGCCCATGAGAACTGGAGCTAGGCGAGGAAAGCGTCCCAAACGCCTTTCAACATTCTCAGACAAATAGGAATCCGACGAAGCGTCCATAAAATCTTCGTTAGGAGAGACGGGAGATTTAGAACGGAGAGCAGGTAGGGTGGGGCGATGTAAACATTGGTTTTAGCGGGAGATGGACCAGATCCCGCATTTAGCATTCCTGGCACTATCTGCCTAACGTCTGGCACAAGCACGTTTGTAAGCTTTAAAATCCACATTAGACAGTCCTGAACACTTAGGACAACGTTTGTCCTAATCACAACAACCCACATAATCACCACACGATGTGTGTGGGTCCCAAGCTGAAAAAACTTTATTACGCTGAGCGCAAAACTTCGTTTCTGGCCTGAACAGGCTTAACCATGTTGAGCAATTATCAGACGAAAAAAAAAATTCACGTCCACTCTGTCGAGCGACAAGAAAGAGAATGAGTATGGAAGGTGATCACGTGGGTGAGGACTGCGTATGCCACGTGCTGTCACGGCCTAGTGAGCATGGCTAAGGCAGGAAGGCATGCACAGCACGGGGACAGGGACAAGGAAGGCCTGGAGCAAAGTTTAATTCGTTTCCACTCATGGTCGAATGAAGAGAGAGAGGTGCAAGTCGTGAGATAGGATAAGTTTAAAAATAAGCATTTACCAAAAACTTATGAGAATAACATCCAAGAAAGTATTTCCATAGGCAAGAAAACTCATCTTTTTTAATTTAATTTCAACAGAGCAAAAACAATGTTTACACCAGTAATATAAACCTGAAGTGTGCTTCTCACCATATATTAGGCATCTCTTGTTTTCCCGGAATAACCGCATTTGAGGTTTTTGTTTGCTCTCAGGTTTTACTGTTTGTAAGTAAGACCTCTTCCCAGGTTTTACTTTTTGTAAGTAAGACCTCTTCCCAGGTTTTACTTTTTGTAATTATTTTTTCCTAACTCTATATGAACATCAACATTCAAATGATATATGAGTGTTTGAAATCAATTGAAAAATATCATCCAAGATCAATTTCAAAGTGCAAATGTTTTCTCCAACAGGATTAGAACCACATCTATCAGGTTAATAAGCTGATGCTCTACCTCAAAGCCACCAAGCTGATGAAGATGTTGGAGTTGAATTATCTATTTATAGTTACTGTCATTAAATTGATTTTACTTGCACTTCAGTTATTGTTATGTAGCTTCATTAAATGATTATCTACATTATAATTATCCATCATTGACGGTTTATATGTTAGAGAAAACACGCCCCTGAGGTTTTGGTAAAGAATGTTTTATATTCTCTTCCAAAACCTCAGGGGCGTGTTTTCTCCTATACGTATATTCTGGAACAACTTTCCATTGAGCAACTTTTGATGCTAAAATGTTCCCATGTTTCGATAAGTGCATGCACTAAAGATACTGAAATTATGAACAGATAGGTAATTTAATTCCAATACCACCTATCATTATTTAATAACAATAAATGTTTTTCTTGGTTTAATGTTACCAACAGCTTCAAGGGCCAAGGGAGGTAACTCTGATATTTACATTGTTTTTAACTATAACATGTTGCATTTTGTAGACTTGGTTATTAAATTTAGAAAGGTGCTTCATATTAGCAGAACTTCTGCAGCAACCAGCATCATGATCACCGCCATCATCACTATTATCATATAGTCATGTGTACAAACCTTGAGCCTTTTGGAGTATCTTCAGTTTATCTTCTAACACTCTTATTCTTTTGTCCTGAAATGACAATCAGTTCATGGTCAACATGAAACACTTATAGTAACAAAAACTATATAAAAATGTCAGTTGAACAGGTCAAAAATGGAAACATCCTTCGAAACTATAAGTAAGCTCAAATGGCCTTTCATGACAGATGAGCTAAAAATAAGTATCACATTAATATTTAAGTTTTTTACCTTTTCCGTAGTTTCTTTACTGTGATACTGCAGCTTTGTTTCCAGCTGTGTCACCCGAGACATCATTAAACTCAGCAGCTCACGATCCGAGGGAGCTGATGTAGAAAAAATATTAAACATGTCATGCTAAAACATGAAGTTCTCTCAATAATCTATCTGTTGGAGAGCAGCTAAAATAATGAATAAGTATTTGTTTAATTCAAATCTGCTTTACTCAATTAGTAATGTCGATCAATTCAATGAACATAAGACACATGGTTGGGAAACATTGATACACCATAGCTGATTCATGAAGACGTTGAAGTCAAAACATCTACTGAGATTGCATAAATCCATTAACGTATTATTTCATAACTTCACCACTGAGTTTTATGATCAAGTAAATTAGTTTGGTGTAATACATTGAATATAATAAACGACCTTCCATGTGATACCATACCAGGAGCAAAAGCAAGTTTGATACTAAATCTTTCACAAGTTTCATAAAAATGGTTTATCACGGAAGCGATTAAATATTCTGTTTATTACTCTCCAACAAAAATTGATAGAAACTGCCTACAATGTGATGACTCTCAGCTTTCTTCGACTCAAGCAAGGTCTAATACCATTTTGACAGAGGTATTAGCATTGTGGCGTCATAACTGTAAACCATTATGACGTCATACGTATATAGCGAACACTAGTGTAGTAATGCTGTAAAACTACGGCGAGTAATAGTATTTTGAAAACTATAGTGGGAGGAAAGCTATGAGTAATGTTGGTCTTTGATGTTTACTACTTTGGTGAAATCCATGAGAACGGGCCTGGTTCTGACAAACCTGCCACTTCAACCTACAGTCAAAGGATTCTAGTCTAAGGGACACAACTCTACCCAAGGGAAGCAACTCTGTACAGTTGATTGTGGCACCTTTGTAACCAGGACCAGCTTCACGACCCTGAACCTTATTATACCAGCAGAATCCTCTGCTTGTTTCAATACGCAGAAAAGGTGCAAAACACTTACATGCACCAGGATGCCCCTGATCTCGACCTGGAGAGGTTCCTGAGTACAGATGCGAAGGGTGTCGGCTTTCTATTTTCGGCAAGCCTCCAGCAAAGGGGTCACGCCCTTTCAGTCTACTGGAGGCCATTCCTGATGTAACTTCCTCCAAAAGCCGACTCTCATCCTCTGTTGACAGAGACCATGTGTACTCATTGCTAGAACTAAACATTCTGTCATTCATAAGTCAAAGACCAGCTGGGGCAGTGGGGTAGCCTAATGGTTAGAGCGACCGCTCTTCACGCTGACGACCTGGATTTGATTTCTCACATGGGAACAATGTGTGGAGCCAATTTCTAGTGTCCCCAGCTGTGACGTTGCTGGAATATTGCTAAAAGCGGTGTAAAACCATACTCACTCACTCAAAGGGCTGCCAACAAAAAATGGAATCAGCCACGTTTGAATATTCTTTGTGTTTTAAACATTAAAACCATTTTATCAGTCACTGGACATCATGATGAGTGTCCAGTTTGATATGAGTGTCATGGCAATAACAACCAGTGACAGACTTACATTATTTTGCCAACATTGCAAAAAATAATTCATGACTTATTTCCAAGAATAAATTCAAGGCGGAAACTGTTTGGTGCTACAAATACTAAGCATAAGGATGCAAAGTTTTATCAAGGGAAAAATTTAATGTTTTGTTTTTTCTAAGGTACTTGATAACATGTCTTAAGAGGACTTAAACATACCATAGGCATGTGCTTTTGTGCATTGCACCATAGACTTCAATATGAAATATTAGAATAATTTCTGGATTTGTAATTTTTATTCATGCTAATTAATCATACTTTTCTTTCTCCTGTTAATGCCTAAAAAACAACACATGTCCTCAGCTGTAATTGATGAACTGGAGAACATATAATGTGTGTATAACACTACATGAATATATATATATATATGTAAATCATATCATATATCAGAATTAAACAAATACCTGAATAATCTGGATTTCTGAAGGGCACTGGTCTCTGCCTGTCAACATAGATGTACAGTATTAACAAACACAAAACAACAACTTGGATTACTTGCACAGTGATTGTAAACATTCACAAGTCTATCCATAATCATGCTAATAACTATGATGAAGTTCTACAACAGACTAACTGAAACTTGGCAGTCCTTCACACTCTCAGCTATGTGAAAAGAAAGATGAGGTATAACATGTGTACACTGGGGTGGAAATAACCCATTGCCCGACGCCCGAGTCCAGTGTTTTTTCAAGTCGGGCAAGCAAATTTGTATATCATGCTGTACCAATGTCCAGTTGACTTTCTAATGTTAATATGTTTATTTAAACAATCAACAAGAAAATCGGCCGGTATAGAGGAAAAATTATCAGGGCAAGTGATTTTACATGTGCCACTGTACCAGTGTACACTAGCAATTTTAAAGTTATTTCCACCCCTGGTACAACATACAAGATGAATGATTTATTTAGATCTCAAAAAGTATCATTGCCAAATGATGTCATGTTCCTATTCATCACATACATTGAAATGCGGCGGTGACCATTCATCTGTGAAATCCATTCTACAGCTACAGTCTCAAAAGAATGACAAAAAAAATTATCTTATAATGATTAATTATCAAAAAGGATATTTCAGTAAAATGAATCATAACAGAAATTCACTAATATCTAAGAGTCTTGTTGGCACATTTCCAAACTAATAATGTGACAGTTTGGTTAATTCCAAACTGGACTTTGGGACCAAACTTAAATTCATTTGTGACATTTGAAGAATTTTCAGTGTGCAGTTTTTAGAAGAACTGTAATAATTTAGACTTGATCCACTGGTCAACATTGCTAACATCCGTTGTCATGTATATGGTCTGCATAATGTACAATCTTGTGATGTCACTGTTGCCGACATGCCTGAGGTATACTGGTATTACCGCTCAATAGAAGTTAAGGAGATTCTGATTCTTTCATATTGCAATAGTAACACGTCATGGCATTTGTTCATAACTTCATCCTAGTAGGGGGCGGTGGGGTAGCCTAGTGGCTAAAGCGTTGGTTCGTCACGCCGAAGACCCGGGTTCGAATCCCCACATGGGTACAATGTGTGAAGCCCATTTCTAGTGTCCCCCGCCTGATGTTGCTGGAATATTGCTAAAAGTGGCGTAAAACCAAAACTCAGTCAGTCAGTCAGTCAGTCATCCTAGTAGTATATCATGCTGGTTGTGGAATGGACGTGGGTGGTAAGATATTTATAACCAACTTCTGATCCTGTTGTAATGGTTATATCTAACAATATCCACTATCAATGACAGTCAATCTAAATACTGCGCTTGGGTGGCCAGTGGATTCTGTGATAGGAACAAGGACTAGCTAAAAATCTGAAATATCATAGAAGGGAAGACTTATTAATGATTATCAATATGAAAAAATGTGTCATCGACAATATTGTGCATAATCTATTTTGATGAAATAAGTTTTTAATTCACTTACACAATTCAAGAAGTAAGGTCTTCATTCATAGACTGCTTCTAAATTATGTTCTGAGTGCTGCTTTGGTAGTAATTCATGGACAAATGTGCCACCACTTTCCAGTGATGTGAAATACGTTGATTTCTTTCAGACCTTTTTAAATTTTTATTTGCTCAAAGTTACTTCTCTGATATTTATTGATCATTGATCGGTGTTTATCTAACGATTATCAATCTTTATGATCTGTATCAATAACCAGCCATAACAGGATCCAAACCATATACCTGATCAGATCTGAGGTCAGCTGCCTTGTCCACATGACCAAAGAGGTTAAGCCCCTCAGCAAGATGCAAGGTAAGGACACCATCTATGGGATTACTCCATGCCCTATCACATACTTCCTGGCCAGCTGAAGACATATATCACTGGTCACATAGTTGGGTATTGAGAATGATTCTACTCACAATTAACATGAAACAACTCAGCCACACATTGGGCGCTGATGTAGAGGCCATAAAACTTCAACGTCCCATTATGGGATACGACCAACAGACCTTACAATCTGTGGCCAGATGCATTGTCCACATCATAAAAGAGTTTACTTTAACATGTCTATTGTCAATAAGATTAGAATTAATCTTCAGTAACCCATGCATGTCGTAAGAGGCAACTAACGGGATAGGGTGGTCAGACTTGCTGACTTGGTTGACACGTCATCATATCCCAATTGCATAGACTGATGCTCATGCTGTTGATCATTGGATTGTCTGACCGCCACCGATTATTTTATAGCTGGAATATTGCAGTGTAAAACTAAACTCACTCACTCATGTCAACAGTGAAATCAGCCTATTGTTTGATGTCATTTTGTGACATAAAAAATCAATGACACTCAATTTCAAAGTTGCATTTAAATTATCTACATTAATAGTAATCCCGAAATAGAGCTAACCCTTAATTAGGAGGAGAGGTGCCTATACTGTTATACCATATAACACCAATGAATTAATAAATGGTGAAATATTAGATTAAAAATCATGATAATTAATAAAATACTCGGACAAGAACTGTAATAAAATAAAAGAAATCGTCCGACCGGGGATCATAATAATTATGAACGAACACCGTTCGGTCACTGTGCCCCTGGTTGCACCTACAGATACTTGTAACAAAAGGCACTCAGCACTCACCCATTGCCTGGCATGAACGGCGTCTTATGAGATTTCTTTAGGCTCGACATGGGCGAACTCATTTTGGGTGACCTCTGCTATCTTGTAACTCTTGAATTCAACCTAGATACAAATCATCCGATCAGCTGTCACTGATTGATGTTGTAGCGAAGGCAACCCACTGGCACTGTTAGAGCTGATTTCTTCCCATTACATTTCATGTAAACGTAAATACTCATCAAACTTATTAAAACCAGCTCATGATTGATCATCTGTGTCCGTCTTTCCTTTAAGTGTTCTAACTGTATTACGTTATGCTCCAGTGCCGGTAATTATCTTCCCGTCGCTAGGTTTGTTTACATCCAAGGACGCCATGTTGAAGTATTCGTGCGTGTTGCGCATGCGTTGAAATCGGTGACGAGAACTTTTGTTACCCCAGTCAATAATGTAACCGGTGATAGCCAAAGATGTGCTATTTCAGTTCGTTGTATCTGTATATAGCGACCTTGTTAAAATCAGCATTTATGATTAAAATATGGAATACTTTGCATCGATTCAGTGCATTACTACTTTAAGCTTGCTTATCTTTCTGTCAATGTTGACAGAGCAAAAGAAAATACACAATCCGATTAATGGATGACATGTGTGATTGCATGAGGTAACACTCTTACTCAATTTGGCATGAACCTACACAGTATGTTAGTTTACATTTTACGTCACATTATTACAGCCATGGTGAACGTATACAGTAAGTGATCAAACACAATAATGCATACAGACATACAGTAAGTGATCAAACACAATAATGCATACAGACATACAGTATGGGATCAAACACAATAATGCATACAGACATACAGTAAGTGATCAAACACAATAATGCATACAGACATACAGTATGGGATCAAACACAATAATGCATACAGACATACAGTATGGGATCAAACACAATTATGCATACAGACATACAGTATGGGATCAAACACAAACACTGAAATGACTGCTGCTTAACAATGTACTGTATTGAGGTGAGGTGAGGTGAGGTGAGGTGAGGTGAAATTGTGTTTAATGTCGTGCTTGAGAATATTTCGCTCATATGACGATGTATTGAGGATTACAATGTAGTAAGTGTATGAGTAAGAGAGGGTGAGGGAGTGAGTGAGTGAGTTTAGTTTTACGCCGCACTCAGCAATATTCCAGCTATATGGCGACGGTCTGTAAATAATCGAGTCTGGACCAGACAATCCAGTGATCAACAGCAGGAGCATCGATCTGTGCAACTGGGAACCGATGGCATGTGTCAACCAAGTCAGCGAGCCTGACCACCCGATCCCGTTAGTTGCCTCTTACGACAAGCATAGGTTGCTGGAGATCAATATTCTAACCCGGACCTTCACGGGTACGAAAGCAGGGATACACATGGGAGAGTGAGTGAGTTTAGTTTTACGCCCTTTTTAGCAATATTCCAGCAATATCACGGCAGGGGACACCAGAAATGGGCTTCACACATTGTATCCACGGTGGGAATGGAACCCGGGTCTTCGGCGTGACGAGCGAACGCTTTAACCACTAGGCTACCCCCACCGCCCCTAGCTCACACGGGAGAAGGTAAAATTTTCAACGTAAGTTAGTTAAAGCAAACATTTTTGTTTGTGAATCTTTTCAAGCCTGTTGTGTAGGTACGGCGGATTTTATAAACGTCTTTTGCAGTTTTCATATCAATAAAGGTAAACATACTTATAAGTGACCGGTAATATATTATAGGAGCATGTGCAGGTTGTCTCTCAGAGAGGGCCATGAGAAATATAGGTTACTACATTGTAACACGGACATGGGGAGAGTGACTGAGTGAGTTTATTTTTACGCCGCACTCAGCAATATTCAAGCTGTATGGCGACGGTCTGTAAATAATCGAGTCTGGACCAGACAATCCAGTGATCAACATCATGAGCATCGATCTACGCAAATGGGATACGATGACGTGTGTCAACCAAGTCAGCGCCCCTGACCACACGATCAAATCAGTCGCCTCTTACGACAAGCATAGGTTACTGAAGATCAATTCTAACCCGGATCTTCACGGGTCACATGGGTATGACAAGTAAAAAGAAGGTATGACAAGCATTAGGGGAATGTCTTTATGTTCAGTACATCAGTCAAGCAGAAGGCTTTGCCCCACCCATTCCTGTATTCAATGACCCAATCCATAAGGTACCACACTGCTTCGATTGGCCAGAATGCACGCAGCTATGATGACATGGAATATATCGCCCCTGCGTATAACATACATGTGCAAACAGAGGTAAGTCAATACAAGACCAACTTTAAGCCTTAAAGTCCTTTAACAGTGCTAAATATGTGAAACTATATCAGAGGCGGGACAACTTTATAGGTATGGGGGTCACGAGAAACGAGACAGTTATAAATTTTATATTTACTGTCTGTAATTTCATTTCGATAACATGCAGACATAAGCCTGTGTACTGATAATGAGACAAGATGAGAAACACATCAAGAATCAGTTTTCAAGCATTTATTTTGAAATAGATTTCATGACCAAATGTAAACGTAAACAATGACAGCGCAAAGGTACATAAATATTTTGTTCATTTTTCTCTGTTTGTACAACTTATTGATATAACATATATATAACATAGTATTTACAAATGACAGGTTTCATTTCAAAATGTAAACGTGACAATGACTTGTAGCTCATAGATACAATATTATTTTTATATTTTCCTCTCTCTGAGTTTGTACAACTTATTGATGCATACATTTATTATACAGTATTTACAAATGACAATATTATAAGCATTAACATTAAATAATAACACATTAATACATTCTTGCAATCCCGCTCCACAAAATATGCTATGACTATGAATAGTCTACGATTAGTATTTTTTTGTTTTCTCTGTTCACAACCACAGGGGCTTGTAACGCTAAAAACTGCCATCAAGGTATGTACTGTCCTTTTATATAGTGCTAAGACCTCGTGAGTGACAGTACATACCTTGATGGCAGTTTTTAGCGTTACAAGCCCCTGCATGTGTTCACTACAACAATTAATTATGAAAATAACAAATGATATTGTGTTAATTGTTGTTTGGATTATATAAATTATTTATGTTTATACAAAAAACGTTGTTTTTCGTGTTTCCGTTTTTGTTTCTGTTTTTGTTTTTACATTCAATTTCGCAATGAGCATTTATAACAACCGCTGCTATGATAAATAATGTTAATAGGTTTGCCATCTGTTCCCCATTTGGCTGTGGGATCACTCTTGAAAGTCTGCTTGACCTGGGCGCAATGGGAGCACGGATGTTGAACATCTTCCTCCTCATCACGCCTGCCCGTCACCCCCACCCCATCCACCATTCCCCCATCCCTACCCCATCCCCACATCCCCTTAACTCTATATCATGTTTGCAGCCCACTCTGTTGCCCCGATCATCACAAAGCCCACGAACGGTACCAGGGCCGGAAGTCGGCTGAACAGAGAGCGCCATGTTGATTTCTTTGTTCCATGGCTTGAAGGTGCTTGAGCCGGCTTGGCCATGGCAGCCTCTTCTCGCTCGGTAACTGAAGAAAAAATTGGGCGTGGAGTTACGACATGCATGTGGCGTTCCTTGTAAATGTGTAAAACTGGGACACGAACTCTGAGTAATAACTCTAATCCTTAAATTTTGGTTAATGTGGTAATTAAATGTCAGTTCGGAGACTTGAACAATATATTGACAGATCAAATTTACTACTATAGAAAACTGAAGAAGCAAAATGTCACTCACCTGCAAAGTATTTGTTTTCCAGCTGAGCATTTGCGATCCATTTCGCTGCAACATCCTGAGCAGCATTACACGTCATCAGACTGTAGTTGGGGATGTTCACTTTGGTCATGTCCACGTCTCTGTACCGCGACACAGGGGTCCGGTGTTGGATGAAGGACTCGCAGTTCCATCTGGCGTCCATCACCAGATCCTCACAGTTGGTCTTCAGATGGCGGTTCCAGCGCTCCTCCCAGCGTCTGACGGCTCCAGTCTCCTCATCAGAACAACCCACTTCCAGTGGTAGTTGACAGAACAATCCAGGACAGTGTGGGCAACCCAGTATCCAGACTTCGACGGGTATTCTCTGGCGCGGATGGCCTTCTTTGGTTCCCAGGACCCCAGACAGGCCTCAGAACCCGCCACAGCCAACACCTCTCCTGGCTGACACTGGTAGTGCGTGCGGATGTCAGCTCGGCATATGCGGGAGATGAACTGGGTGTGTTTAAAACCCCATCGGACCTTCATGGTGCCGCTGAAGAAGTTCAGACTTGTCCTGCAACAGATAAACTCCAATATACATTAAGAGTTAACAATCAGAAATTGGTGGGAAGGAAAGAAGGGAATGCCTACTTAAAATTAGCACTGTGTGAAGAAGCTGATGGGACTGAGGAAATCATGCTGTTTGGAGCAGCGTACGAACAGATACGTTCACAAAATACGTCATTACGTATATATAAAAAGTGGAAATATGTTCCTGGCGATAGAGAGGCTTGGTATTACCGGCTTCTGGAACGTATATAGACGTAACTACGTCATAGAAAACTCACTGTCTGTTTCTTGCTGGGTCCCAGTACAAAACCTGTGCATCATGCGTTGTCACCAGCCACGACCACTTGAAGGTGGCCGATATGGGCAGATAACTCTTCACCTTCCACACGTCCTGTTCTGTCTCCGACGGCCCGGCAGTCAGCATCTGCGGGATGTTCCATGAGCCAAGTTCGGGGATCGAACCCAGAACCCCGATTTTAACCCGACTGTCGGCACTCATCATGGCCTCTATCCCAGGAGGCAGGTTGTAGAGTTGAAACACGACCTGTACAGTCTGTCCTGGCATCGTGGGAGAAATATAGACTGACAAAATAACGAGAGCGAGTTGAATGCGGCTGTGTATCTAGGCAGACAGACAACAATAACGTCACGTGACACGCAGATCCAACCTGGTGGTGTGACGTCATTATTATTATGACGATATCTAAATTGTGACGTCACGTATTTGTAGCGTGGAGCAGAGCAGAGAGCTGCAAAGTTGTCGAAGCTGGTTCCCGGCTCCCTTTTCGCGTCGTCGTGTGTTGTGGTATGCGAGACTGAACCCAGCTTGCATTCTCGTCCCAGTCCACAATTACGCAAAAAGATGAATTTAACCTGACGTGCGAGCATCTGAACTGCCATTCCACTATGAGTTATAATTAATTGATTGATTGTTGGAAAGTGTTGCGCCATACATATATATAGTGGTCCCTAAATATTCGATAGCGACCAAGTAATCCAGTGGTTGATAGTATAAGTAACAATTTACGCAGCCGTTGTACACACTACAAGGCAACTCATAGACTCGTGAAGGTCCGGGTTAGAATTGGTCTTCAGTAACCCATGCTTGTCGTAAGAGGCGACTAACAGGGCCAGGTAGTCAGGCTCGCTGACTGGGTTAACGCATGTCATCGGATCCCAATTGCGCAGATCGATGCTCATGCTGTCACTGGACTGTCTGGCCCAGACTCGATTATTTACAGACGGAAGCCATATGGCTGGAATACTGCTGAGTGCGGCGTAAAAGTAAACTCACTCACTCATTAACAACCGTGTTCACACTGTTCAGAATAGATTTCCAAACTAAGACGTAAAGGTTAATTGAGAAACTGGTTTTCACTGAACTGAAGTGTCAAATAAGTAAGTGATCAATACATAATTAACAATTTACAATAAAACAGACAGTTTTAGGTTTACAATCACAAAAGGCACTTAGTGGCAGAAAGTTCATGTTCTTAGAAGTGCACAGAATGTTTGAATGTCGTATATCAGGCCAGTCTGGGTTCTTGAAAGCGGAAGAGGGTTGGAAGCGAACAGGCGTTCTGTGTTTATCACCCACTGCTGACACGTTGAAAAAACGCAAGTCAGATTGTACACTGACACGAATCGACCTCTTGTGTCTATTCTAAGGGACCGGTCATAATTTATGGCTAGGGGGGGGGGTGATGAAAATATGGAGAAGCATGTACAATGTGAATGACCCCCCCTAAAATTTATGTACAAAGTAAGTGACCCCACCCTGCATGTCATGTACAAAATGAATGACACCACCCCTGCCTTTCCATAATTTTTTAGCATATTTTAAAATATTTTTATGTACAAAATTGATGACCCCCCTAGCACATGTGTACACAATTGGTGACCCCCTGCCTCCCCAGAACGAAATTTGGTCCCCCCCTTTAAAATCATCATCATCCCCCTAGCCATAAATTATGAACGGTCCCTAAGAAGATTAAACCACCATATACACGTTCACAATAAGGTACATGATTCAGTGCCGCTACCATTATTGCCAAGACAGCATGGACTATTTTATTAACACTTCAAGCAGTTACTGCAACTAATCAATTTTATATAATTATGTATTCGTAAAAAGGTTCGCTTGCCCCAAGGGCCCCTTGGCTGTAACTGCCTCCTGTTTCATACTGATGAAACTGATGTGTTCGTGGAGGGTGTGGGGGTGCTTGTTGATAAAGCGTTCGCATAAGATCAGGTTCGAACCCATTTCTGGTGTCCCTTGCCGTGATATTGCTGGAATATGGCTTTCGCCCTCACTCGCTGTAACTTCTCCGGGGGGAATCAGAAGACGCTAGTTCTCCCACACGGGCAGATAACAGAAGACAACAGTTAGACGTCGGTTCCACAATTCCTCCATTAAAGCTGGCTCCACCACAAGCAGATAACTGAAAACACGAGTTCTGCCCCAAAGACATCGGCACACACGCAGACAAACTGACAGACCATTCCTCCATTAAAGTCGGCTCCACCTCATGCAGACGACAGATGACACCAGACATGGATTCACAAACACAATCAAGGTGAAAGTATAACGGATACAACAGGTTAACCTCCTCCGTAAATGATAACGACACCAAGAGAAGTCTACTTCTCATATTATCACCCAGGGATGAAAGCATCTCAACAATGGTGGCTTCCAGACACACAAGATCGTATCGCCACAGCATATGTCTGTCGCATTGTGTCTGCTGTCACGTACTGAACAATTAAACATCGTATCAAGATATGTGTCTGTACGTCACTTAGCATAAAACCACAACTGCTTCAGTTATTACATGATTTTATCGTTCATATGACAGCAGCCTGTCAAACGTCATGAAATGTAGGGGAGGTAACTCCTTAAATAGCAAGCGCGGCATCGAACTCAGTGTTGTCTCCCTTGGCACAGTATGGCCGAGAGTATTCGCCGGGAATTGTCGTCTGTTACTCGACAGGTTAGTGCTACAAACTAGTATATTAGAAACTCCGTTGTCAAAACACGCGGCACTATACGCAGAATGATAATAATTATAAATTTATAGCTAGATGGATTAATAATTGCGTAATAACAGATGCCTAAAAATTAATAATATGTTCTGGACGAAAATCATTCGCTGCTTCATGATTACAACTATGGCAGTTTTGAAATGTATTGAATCTTTTCTCTGCTGTTAGATCTAATCGTTTCCGTTCTGACTGTAAATTCTTTGTCGTAGTTTTTATTCCGTGAATTATACCCATAACGTATGCCAGTAGTTATTGGTGAAGAAGGTGCTGTTGCCCAGTCTACATCTGCATGGTTACTTTCTCCGACATTCAAAACAGAATCTTGAACTGTCTAAATAATTTGTTGCAACGAGTCTAAGTTTCGTAACAATTGTTAACTGTTTACCAGATAAATATGCCTCGTTGCCACTGATAGCGTAATAAAGTCTAATATGTACATGTTCTCGGACGTTCACGAATTATGTTTCACAAATCACGAGGGGAATATAATCTCTGACACGTCGTCACAGAGGACATTTTCCCGCTGAATTCGGTAAAAAATAGTAAGTTCATATTTATTGTTGTATGTTATCTTGATCCAGCACGCTTGGTTGGTGTAATTTCAACTCAAATTGGTTAATGGTGATATCTGTGACAGTGGCCTTTTTAAACGCGAGAAATAAGAATAGGTAAATTATTATCTGATGTGAAAAGATTTGTATATAAATAACGAAATGTTAAACTATTTTATTGTTCAGCGAATCCATTACATTTTCTTAAAGACAAACCACGAGAGTGAGTGTTATATATATTCTCAAAATATAACATTTTAATACATGTGTATGTCCTGAAATATAGCAATAGGAGATACAATATAATGATGGAAATAAATAAAGGAAAGTTTGGATGAGAAAGTGAAAGTTGATACATTCCAAAATAAACCCAGAAATTATTAATCAATGGAAAATATGTTCAACAGTCTCTTTCAGCGATGTAAATGAAATAATTAAACAATAAGTCTTGTTTGATTCAAATGTTCATAACATAATGTCGACATTCACCTATAGATGTATCAACTAGCTCTCTATAAAAACATGTGTTTAAAACATATTTCATTAAATAGACAAGAGAACAACATTGTTTGAGAGTGATGTACTAATTCCGCAAAATACCAAACCCTCAATAATGTACATGTGCAGGCGTGTCTGTTATTCTATATGCATTTGTTGTTTATGCAATAAAAAACATTTTAAGTACAAGAACCCTAACTAATGTTAACTTGTTACTATTTTAAGTACAAGAACTATAACTGAAATTAACCTGTTAACATTGTAAGTACAAGAACCCAAACTAAAATTAACCTGTTATCATTTTAAGCACAAGAACCCTAACTAGAATTAACCTGTTAACATTTTTGTTGTCTTGTAGCTCTGATTGTGTGGCTGAGTGACCAACTCGAAAATCGGGTCAGTATGAATCTTGGAGGAAGATATCGTCAACATCTTACTCGGCTGAAACGTGTTTTTGACACGTGGTGTAAATATGATAAACTGTCCTGAATTTGAATATTTACATAAGTATGTAAGTCATTATTACACATAATTCATGTACTGATGGAACACATTTTCCAAAGGTATTTGTCATAGATCGATATGGTTTTTAAATGTTTTAGCTGGCGAAGCAACCCGATTCTTCGTTGATCGTCTGTTATGCTATAGCTGTTTGTTCGCCTATTGGATATGTTATGTTTCACCGGTAACTTTGTTTTCATTTCTCAGACGTCATGCAGGTAAACGCTCTGTTCCCCCTCCACCCATGCACGCACCTGCAGGTGCACCGTGTCAGCATCTCTGTTGATGCTGGAACTCATTCAGCGCTATTCAGAACGACTGGGAAACGGAAGAATTCTCTGGATTTTATTCAATTAAAAATATATTTTATTTTATTTTATCATTTTGTCATTTGAGACGATTACGTCAATAAAGGGATTTTAAAAAAATAATCACACGAATATATCCTGACAAATATTTTGATATCGTATATTGTCATATCGGAAGTTTCTTTTGCTGTTGACGAAATGTTACAAACTGAGAAATATACACTTACAATAATAAAATATTGTTGTCATATTGTTTTTAAATAGTCAGAATTTTAGAATATGAGAACATATGTTTGTTTTAACTTTATAACTAATGATTTCACAGTAGTGAAAATATCTCTCTAAATTGTTAATATTTTGACGCGTTACCGGACTCAGGAACCGTTCCTGACATCCCCCGACCTCGGCAGCTCCATAACTGCCAGCCCATGGTGTCTGCAGGGAGGGTCACAGTCTGCTCACGTTAATTCAACCCTAGTTATCATATAAGAAAGAAATTATAGGAGACAGGTTTACAAGCAACAAGGTATGGAGCAAGCCAAGGATATATATGATTTATCAGTAAATGTTTAGTGTACTGGGAGATAAGTTTCAGAGAAATTTATGTTTAATGTCTGAATACAAAGAATTGGTTTCTGTGAAGTGCATCCAAGATGTTATGCGTGATCACAATGCATGCTATGTGTCATAATGTATTTCCTAAGCAAATCTTACGAATTATTTTGTGGATTGTGTCATTTCATGAAATAAATTTAATTTAA